CATTTAATTTTCCTGACATAGCACTCCCTTGAGAACTTCTTGGAGATCTGGTCTGGTGCTGGTAAATTCTTTCAGGTTTTGTTTATCTGAGAATGTTCTTGTCTTTTCTTCCCTTACAAAGGACAATCTTGCCAGGTGCAGTATTGTCAGTTGTAATTGCTTTTCCCTTAACACTTTGAATATATTTTCCCATTCTTTGCTTGCTCGCATTGTTTCCATTGAGAGGTCTGCTGTTAGCCTGATGGGATATCCTTTGTAGGTAACTTGCCATTTCTCCCTTGCCAATCTTACTATCTTGTCTTTGTCTGTGGTTTTGGTCAATCTGGCTATAATGTGTCTTGGAGAAGGTCTTCTTGGGTTGATTCCATTAGGGATCCTTTGTATTTCTTGGGACTGGATCTTTGAGTGCTTCTCTAGGTTTGGAAAGTTTTCTTGCAGGATTTTATGGAATAGATTATCAATGCCCTTATGAATCTCTTCACCTTCTGGAATGCCAATTATCCGGATATTTGGATGTTTGATGGTATCTAGTACTTCTCATATATTATTTTCAAATTTTGGGGCAATTTTATCACTTTGCGGTGGATTTTTCTAGGCCAGCAATCTTCTCTTCTGTGTCAGAGATTCTATTTTCTGTATGATCTAGTCTGCTTTTAATACTTTCAAGGGAGACTTTGACTTCCTGTATTATAGTCTTCATCTCTAACATTTCCGTTTCATTCTTTTTTAAAGTGTGTAATTCCTCTTTTAGATCTTGCAAGAATTTTTCACCTCCTGGAACTCATCAACTTCTTTCTCTTTTCTCTTCAGCAGTTCATTGTCTCTTTTCTCTCCTATCTCCATTAGCTTTGCCATTATGAATGTTCTAAATTCTTTATCAGACATTTCCATGATTTCCATTGAACTGCTTGTGGATGAAGGAGTTATTCTCTTCCCTTGGAGGAGAGGTATTTTCTTTCTTTCCCATATTTCTTATGGTCCTGCAGTGATGTCTAGTCATCTGATGGAAAAGTGTGTTTCTCCCAAAACTTGAAGTTCAATCTAAGCGTCCAAGAGTGTGCAGAAAAGGAAACAGAGAGAGAGAAACACCAGCAACAAAAACAACCAAGAAACAGAGAAAAAGACACACACAAAAAATTTTAATTTAAAAAAAAAAAGCAAAAATCAGAAAACCATGCAGCGTGCTTGAACACCATGCAAAATCACTAGTTCTCAGTAGCCATGAAGGGGTCTTCTGAGGCCTGTGCCCTTGCCTCTCCTGGGTTGGGAGGAGAAGAGGGGATTATAAACAAGATAAAGGGAAAGGAGTGGTTGAAAGCCAAGAAAGGGTTTAACGTTAAAAATTTTTAAAAAGGAAAAATTACAAAAAAATGAGAAGACAGAGAGGTAGAGAGAGACAAAGACAGATACAGAGACAGGAGGCTAAAAAGTCTTCCTACCACACAAGTTTGAGGGCTATAGGCTGAATTATCAGTGGAAAATCTTCATTTCTCCTAGTCCCCTGAAATGACTAGTTCAGTAGCCATGAAGGGGTCTTCTGAGGTCTGCGCCCTTGCCTCTCCATGCGAGTTTTGAGGGCTGGAGGCTGAATTATCAGTGGAAAATCTTCATTTCTCCTAGTCCCCTGAAATGACTAGTTCAGTAGCCATGAAGGGGTCTTCTGAGGTCTGCGCCCTTGCCTCTCCATGCGAGTTTTGAGGGCTGGAGGCTGAATTATCAGTGGAAAATCTTCATTTCTCCTAGTCCCCTGAAATCACTAGTTCTCAGTAGCCATGAAGGGGTCTTCTCACTTTTTCCTCTCTATACTCTTATATTATCTAAAATTTATATAATGAAATTCTGGCAGGCTGTATTATTATGTTGCTATTCAAGCTACCCTCAGCCCCCAAAACCTGTGCTGTCAAAGGACCATATATCCTTGCTCCTTGCCATTTAATGTGCACTATGTCCTGTGGGACGAGTACATATATCCCCAGACCACTCATGTTGGACTTGGTCATGTGACTTGCTTTGATCAATGGATTATGAGAAGTCATGATGTATGTCAGGTCTGAGCAAAAGATTTATAAGCTACTGCATGTTTTCAAATCTCCTCTCCTGTTTTCTATGCTAGGCCATGAAAATGGTATGTCCTGGAGCCAGCAGGTGGTATGGTGGTTAAAGGCACCAGACTCCCACATGGCCGACTGTGGTTCAAGTCTTGAACCTGATGGCTTGCTTTCTCGTTTTCCCTCTCTCTCTCACTCTGTCCCTCTCTGGTCAAATTAAGCTAAATAAAAAATAAAGTTAAATAAAATAATTCTCAAAAAAAAGGAAAGAAAGAAAATAGTATGTCCCAAGCAGGGGATGCCTACTTCCTGGAATTAGAGAACATATGAAGCAGAAACAGAGCCAGCACTGACCCACAGGTCCATGTAACATGACTGAGATATAAATCTTTGTTGTCACAAGTCACTCAGATTTGGGAGTCCTTTGTTACTTAAAAACAAAAAAAAAGGGACAAGCAGATGGCTTAATGGTTACATCACTGGACTCCCATGTAGTATACTGCAGTTCAAATACCAGATCAGATGGCTTCAAAGTCACACAAGGCACGTGTGTGTGCGTGTGTGCCCAAAATCCCAAGAAAAGAATGGAGGAGAATAAACTAGCATGGCCATCCCCTCCAGGGGTGATTTCTCATTTTCTGTCTCTCTATCTCTCTCTGTCTCTTCAGCAAGCACATGCGCCCTATAGCAGAAATCTCTCTAAAAAAATAAAAAAGAAAAATCTCTATGAAAAACTTTAAAATGATACCAAGCACTGTGAAAAACCTGAATAAATTAAAAAGTAGTATTACATTCTTTTTTTAAAGACAATTAGATTTTTTTATTATTTTATTTAACTTTATTTATTATTATCATTATTATTTTCCAATTTGATCAGAGAGAGACAGAGAGAGAGAGAGAGAGAGGGAGAGGAAGTGAGAAAGCAAGCCACCAGGTCTGAGACTTGAATCGTGGTCAGTCATGTGGGAGTCCAGCGCCTTTAACCACCATGCCACTTGCCAGCCCCCCAAAAAAGTAGTATTATATTCTTGAACTAGAATACTCAGCATCACAAGGGTGACACAATTATTCCTAAATTAATCTACGTATGTAATACTTTCCCAATGAAAATACATGAATACACACATATATGCGTGGTCCTAAATTTGCTTTACAA